TCTACCATAGAGGTAAGACCAGAAGGTCCCGATGAAACGAGCTCAATTTTTTGGCTCAGCTCTGGTACTATCTTCGGTCCCAAGCTAATCGATGCATCCCTCGAAACATACGAAAATCTACAAACCTCTCATTTTATCTGTCAAACTCTCATAGCGAATCAAAACAAACAGAGTGTAGTACTAGATTTCTGAACACGCTTAATCCGAATCATCTGAAAATATCTAGCGGCGCCGACTGGGATTGAACCCAGGCCTGCTGGGGTGAGAAGTAATCACGCTTACCACTACACCACCGGCACCGCTTGACTTTTTAATTTGAGCTTCGCTAATCTGCACGGCGTGCAAATTAAAAATGAATCAATAGTGATTTAGCACATGGTATGGAGAAAAGCGAAATGGAACGCAGAATCAAAACAAAACAGCAAATAGTTTCTGCCACTTGCTTTTCTGATGGTCAATGAATCATGAAGGATTGATCAGATTAACAGTAAATAATATAGACTTGATGACTCGAAAGATTTTGAGGTCGTCGGCAAAGAGCAGTTTCTCAGATGATATTTGTAAGCACAAGTCATTTATGAAAAGGACAAAGATCAATGGACCTAACACACTTCCCTGCGGAACTCCAGATGGAATGTCGAATGTTCTCGAACGTTCAGAGTTCACCTGAACGTATGCTTTCCTAGTGGTCATGTATGACATTAGCCAGTAGGATATCCAATCAGGAAAACCCATATGTCTCAGCTTCTCCACCGCAAAGATGTGCGGAACAGTGTCGAACGCTTTCCAAAAATCGATGTATACAGATTGATTTCGGCATTCCATCTCTCGGAACAAGACGTTGGTATAGCATAATAAATTGTTTGTTGCAGAGCGATGCGGAACGACCTCGTTGATCAAAAATCCTAGGCAACAGATAATTGATATCCTGCGGTAATTTTCGACGAGGCGCAAGCTACCTGACTTGTGGATAGGAATCATTTCTGCAGCTTCCCATAAACTCGGGAATGTTTTTTTTTCATCTAACGATCTATTGAACAGTATCGTCATTGATGAGGCTAAAGACTCAGCGCAATTCTTCAGTAAAATAGGAGTTAATCTAATAACTTCAGCTCCTTTTGACCCATCTAGTTTGGGCTCTCAACACTTCATCACGATAAAAATTGAAGAACGGAAGACGGATATCGTGAAATGGCACGTGTTGAAACCAACCAGGGTGGGGTTGGGGAGATCCTGTATTAAACAAGCTTTGAAAGGCGGGAGTAACCGTCAACAATGCTGATGATGGTACAGCATGTAAAAACCACCGTAATGCTTTCTCTCTGAGATGACTAAGATGGTCATGACGAGAGGAGCAACACAATAGTTGGGTAAAGAAGAATTGCATTATATTACATCATCGACTGGAAATGCTTTCGGCAACGTGGAGCTTTACGTAGTGATGTACTATTCCACAGCCGCAGCCACAGACAGTAATGAGCAAAGGCGGGCGCACACTTTTTGCCTGTAGAATTGAAGACATACTTCAAATCACCGCGTACATCGTTACGGGCTAGGCAAAGAAGTGTGCGTTTGACTTTGTACTGTCGCATTAATGGTCCTTCGCTCATTTTCAACTTCTATTCAGTTTTCATACTGCCGAACTCTAACAGAACTATCTACCTACACTCTTCTAAGACAATTCGCTAGCTCATAAATTATCACACTAAAGCTTCATGTTAGATATCATTTCCAACCAACTATGAAAAAAAGGTTACCAGCCTCGTCGGATGAGCTGCCTGCCCATAGCATCCCCGTACTTGACATCATCGGGCACACGATTACTTGCCCGTTGCTCCTTAACAAACTTCCAGAACGCTGAGGGGTTTCGTTTCAAATTCGATTACAGTAAGTAACCTTGATAGCTTGTTGCTACAAACTCTTTATAGGACGTTTCCACCAGGCCAAGTGATTCTCGGTTTTCGTTTGTCTTGTTGACGAAGAATCGTTTACGTGCTTTCCTTAGTTTGTTGCGCATGTTTCTCAAATCAGTGGTCCACAGTGTCAACAGTTCACCCTGAAGCAGCTGTTCCCAGTAAATCGATGAAAATTCAGCATTGAGAGAGTCGAAGTCGCAACGCTTGAGATCCAGATCACGAGAATCCGTTTGAACGTCGGCTGCAGCATGGATACTACCGTGTGCGTAATAATGTTTGCACCATCGTAAAAATAAGGTTCCCGTTTCACCTGTGCATACAATGCCTTGGTTTTCTTTTTCACGTGCATGTAACCTATAGCTCATACCGTAGTAGGCTGTGTATAAAAGAAAATGATTTACTTAGTTTGACAGTTGCACCACTGACGAAGTGGCAGCGTATTCGTGAAAAGGGTTTTAACCGAGAAAAGAAAGGACAACTATCCGTGAAGGTGGTCACAGGTCGTTCGAGGTCAGCTCGGGTTCCGAGGGTTATCGCTGCTATCAAAAGGAAGATTCGGGTGAATCCAATGTGTTCAATAAGGAAAATGGCAAAGGAACACAGGATCAGTGACTTTACGGAACGGAAGATCGTAAAGGAAGATTGCGGGGCGAAGTCGAGGGCACAGAAAAAAACTCACATGATTACCAACCGCATCCGGGAGCTACGAGTCGAACGATGCAAGAAAATCTTGAGCTTCCTTAAGTGAAAAAATCCGGTAATCCTGTTCACCGACGAGAGCATGTTTACCGTCGATCCCGTATCAAATTCCAGAGCCGACCGGTATATTAGTTGTTTTCCGGTAAAAGACGTGGCCGACGAGCACAAGAACGTGTATATGACCAAGCATCCTGCTAGCGTTATGGTGTTTGAATTGGTGGCTTCCGATGGCAAAAAAAATGGAGCCGGTGTTTATTCCAGAAGGCGACAAGGTCAACGGAGGTCTGCATCGGGATTGTAAGTATGTCCTTCCGTTGATCAAAGAACAGTACGGTCCGAGGCCAAATGCTGTATTTCAACAAGATGGGGCTATGTGCCACACCTCGAACCGCACTCAGAAGTGGTTGCAGGAACATCTTCCGTTCTGGGCAAAGGATATGTGGCCGCCATCCAGCCCCGATCTTAATCCGCTGGATTACTCAATATGGCGCGTAATGAAGGCCTAGGCTTGTTCTAAACGCCACCCGAGTACAGCAAGCCTCAGACAAACATTGACCCGTACCTGGAGAGAAATGGATCCAGACTACATTATTAGAACCTGCCGTGCATTCCGGAAGCGTGTGGAGGCCGTAACTGCAGCAAGTGGAAACTCGATCGATGATTAACATAGTTTAAGACTCTGAGAAACATCCCTCCTTTGAATAAAAAAAAAACTCGAAAACGAAATTTTTGAGATTTTTTTTTATTATTTTGACATTGCTTAATGGTGCAAACATTATCACGCATATGGTACTATGCATATCAACTTCAAACGGTGTATGGTGAGAATCAGTAGGTAGGAGCGGTAATATAGGATGCAAAATATAAAAATCATCCGGAGAATTCGTAAAAGACAGATGGAGAAGTCTGCCATTCGTGTTTGAAATTGCGTTTAATTGCACCAGACCACATGTAGATATGGATTCAGTAAGTACGAGTTCTTGTTTGCTGGAGGAATTCGCAGGCATTGACAATATGGCTTCGATTTTCAAAATCTTAAAGCCGTGGCGCATCTAAGGACAACATATTTTTATTGGTTTTAGTACTTAGTAGTCAATGAGTACCCGCAAACACCCACAACCATAGCACTGGATTCCTTCATTATGAATCTTGAAAGCTTTGATGATTAATAATTTCAAGGTTCCATCAAAGTTTCCCGTATTCTCTTCCCATTAAATAGCTACGACTTACATCAATTCCCTATCCATAACACCCCGAGTCTCACAAAGCGTTCCTCGTCAGAGGATGATACGCTCGAGCAGACGCATCAGTCCCAACAGCAACAGTGATCGGTTATCAATCAATAATGTTACGGTCTATCACGAATCAACAATACCAATAATAAACACTCTCGAGTCCAATGAGCGACGGAGCGCAGTAAACCACACACTATCACCACCACAAGCACTATCGGACGAACCAAACAGAGGAAGAAGAGATGCGTGCCACAACTCGACGGCCCCCGTGGATTATAATAGCATACACTACTAGCCCAGAAAGAGATTATTAACGCTCGATTTAAAGCAATTAATACCTCCTGCTATCAGCCACCGACCGGCTCCTCACTCGGCGGATCATGATTTGATTTGCGTGGATCAAAACATAGACGAAAAATGTTCATTGGGCGTGATACCAACCGGTCAAGATCGAAAATGGACGGCGAGAAATAGAATATAATTGAAGGAGGAAAATTGAAACGTCAATTTGGAAGATATGCTTGCAATTGGAGATGAGATGGAAATCAATCGCCTACATATGGGAACTTCCGACACACATTGGCAGCCAGACTGGCGACCCGAAGTGACCCACATTTCACACGCAGAGGGTGATTTGTATTGGAAGAAGAGAACATATAGCGGGATTCATCCTCACCGGCACGTTGATTCTAGGCATTATTATGTGTGAAGGTGGAAGAAGGAATTGAAATTGAAATTGATCGCTCAGAGAACTACTTTTTGCCTTGTTTCACACCGGCAGTAGACGAGCTTGGATCCATTGGGCGGGGGAATGTCCAAATTAATCGGATATTATTATAGTCTGTTTTTGGAAGGTTTTTCCAAGGCTGGGTCGATAGTCAAAACAAACATTATCGATGGCAATTATTGGCTATTTCTTTGGATGATTGACTGCGTGATTGATGCAATTAACACGGCTTACGCAACGTAGGTTGTATGAATGACTAATTATAGATTCATTTAACCCATTGAATGAAAAACATCCTATTAGGGATTATTCGATAATACTCTGCTAATAATCCTTTCCATTTTTACGTTGCTCCATTTAACTAACATCCAGTGGAATTAACTTACGACACTAATCACATTGTATCTGCTCTGCTCATTTCAGATTTGCAACCGTAACACCACACCGCAATCAAGATCGCTATAAACTGCAAACAGGAAACCATCGCCATCGTCGCAATCAAAAGTGTAAACAAGTCGTTGGAAATCAACAAAAAACCATCACATCGACTGCAGCAGCCACCGAGCACTCAACTAGGGAAAGAATTCCAAAAATGTAATACCTTATAAATAATTTATAAGCATACATACACGGTTGCAATCATCGAAAAAGTGGGTGAAGCACTGCTCTGAAAGCGCTGCAACTCCCCAGTAACAGCGCGCGCATTCGATTCATTGATAAGAAGCAGCTCTTGCGCTCGAGCGCCGCGCACCCGCCTTTGAACTGCAACTAGATCGTGACGACGACGGCGACGGCGACGACGAAGTCCACGGCAACGGAGAGCCCGCGCGGGAGAGCGCGGCCAAACGAAAGTGAAACACCATGGAGAAGTATGTAACCGTTGTGTCGGTCGACGATCAGCAGCAGCAGCAGCAGCCCCCATCGGAGACGGCAAATAGAGCCAACGAGGAAGTGCTAAACGGGGGTGTGGAAGTCATAAATGGTGGCAGTAGCAACGGAAGCGATGCTGCTGGTGCTGTTTCTGTGGTCGATTCACAGTTTGTCACAGTGCTATCGATCAACCATGGCGCTGCGCTGGAGGGAACCGAACCAGAACTGGTACTGGTCTACCGGTTACCCGGGGAAAGGTTAGGCTTCGGGCTCAAGTTTCAGGGAGGAACGAAAAATAACGAGAAAATCCAGCGGCTGTTTATTCAGTCATGTGCGGAAAACAGCCCGGCGTCGAGAGTGCAGGCCAGTTGGGGCTTCCTCCGGGAGGGGGATGAGATTTTGGAGATTGATGGAGTCAGCGTGACGCACATGTCGAGGATTGAGTGCGTGAAGTGCTTGAAGGAAAGCAATTTGGCCATAAAGCTGTTGGTGAGGAACGGGGAGGGAAAAGTACAAAACTTCTACGATGATAATGGTGACATTCCGGAGAAGAAAAGTGTGCCACCTCCACCGCCGCCGGTGCCACCCAGGAAGCTGAACAAGCGCAAGATGGTTGAGCACCAGGTTGTTGAACCTCCAGCGAAACAGATCGTCGAAATCGTACACCCACCGGATGCGGAAGTGTACTCCAATCTGTTCTCGGACGATATCAGTGATCTAATCAGCGAATCGGACGACACTGCCAGTACAATTTCGACAGTCATAGATAAGTACTCAATATGCTCAAGCCTCTCCTCGGAGGACTATACCATTTCGTCAAACCCAAGCAGCTTGGAGTTGGCCAAGGCTCTCAAACCTTTCACACTTCTCGAGAAGGAGTTCAACCTGGAGGACAAACTGGAAAACAACCTCTTTACCTTTCAACCCTCGGCAGTCAATATAGTCCAGGTAGAAGCCCCTCCAGTTTCCAACGAATACGAAAACTATTCCATTGCAAAGGTCGATGAAAACAAAAACTACGAAAACGTTGTCATTCACGCTAGTGACCATCACCCTCAAAACTACGAAAATGTCACCATCCAAGAGGTCTCGGACAGTCAATCCTACGAAAACGTCGTCATCTCAACCTCGGATGACAAATCAGAATCAACCGTGTACGAGAACGTTGACCTCAAAGGCCCTCCACGTCCGGCACCTCGTCAAGCGGCGATTGTTGAACCGAAAAAGCGAGCCGCCGCACTCCCAGTCGGAGTCATCCCACCACCTCGGCAGAAATCCCCAAAAATCCCTAACATGCCACCTCATCTGCCCAACGAATTCAACACCATTCAAAGCTGGCTTCAGGAAGCCACCGAAGTCATTCACGAGTGCGTCCTCGTCCCCAACGCAGAAACGGCGAAGGATGACAAGCGCAACGGAAGCAACGAAAATCTACCGCGACTCATCGATTTTCATCCGAAAGTTTCTAGTCCTTTAAAGCCAGTCAACGCTTCGCCACAACCCACGACCGTAACCGTGGAAGAGGTTGTAGTAGTCACAAGCAACGACCGAACCAGTCCCGAACCTGAGGACCCATCGTCGGTGGTGGTGAAAAAGTGCATCAAAATTAACGCCACCCAGGAGTCTGGCGAGGAGCAAAATTACATCGAGAGTTCCAGCAGCAGCGACGACGACGAGGAGAAGTGCTACGATCTGCATGTTTACAGCAACAAAGAAGAGTACGAAGATTATGAGGATGAGGAAGAGAATGAAGACCGGCGCTCCAGCGACGGGGGAGCATTCGATACCTACAGCGACGAGGATGGGGAGAAACTTGGACCACCGGAGATTGTAGGCGGAGGTCCATCGGAGGCGTATTTCAACTACCACTGGAGCACGTCGCTGTTGCCGCCGATTGGCGAGGTGGAGGAAGAATTTTCCTCGCTCGAGAACCAGCAGAGTGGGTGAGTGAAATTGTGGCTTTAAATTTGTGATGTTTTGTCCCACCCAAACCACCCCCTTGCACTGAAAATTGTACGATATGTTGCGTGAAATATTGTATGTGTGCCGCTGTAATGATACGTGGCTTGCACGACTGTTGAAAACTAGTCATAAAAATTTAGTCATTTTCGATAATTATTCAATAGTCTAATTAATAATCCAGGCTAAATTCTAATTATATTGCAATAATGATTGAAAAACAATGTCAAAATGATAACAAATTGGGCTTGATTATCTCCATCCCCTTTTTCGAAAATGATCAAATTTTAACTATGCTTTAGTGTTCAACGGCCACGCTTCAAGGTATTCACGGCTGATTAAACCAATTCAAATTTGTGTTGAGTAAAGTCTACTAAGCAAAAAAACGTAGGTTACTCATAGGTACGTTACTAAGTAAAATAATGCTCAATTTTCCAGGAAATGTTTTTTTCGAATATCCCAACAAACAATTTTAGCTGCAGCTTAGCTTATACAGGCAATAATTAGCTGCATAAGGCAAATTTTGGCTGCATAAGCTAATCTGCAGCTAAAATTGTTTGTTGGGGAGGAAAATCGAAAGAGTTTTCACTCAGTCCATTAGTAACCCAATTTAATTAAGTAAAATTTTCGTTCGAGCGGATTTTTGAGGAAAAGCGGGGAAAAGTTTACTAGGTCTATTAGTCATCTTCGATTTTGCTTTTTTAAGAGTGAAACAACTCAACTTTGAGTTGATCTCATCGACCGTGTCCATCGCCGTGTACCGCTAGGAAGAAATATATTATACAACTAGCTTTTACCTTACTGCGGTTCGTTAGGGAAACATTTAGAGCAACGTTGATTGCATACTGTGCGGGCGAAGTAAACCGTGCATTGCAAGATGCTTCATTGCGGGGGATTAATTCTAAAAGATTGCCGAGCAGTTTAGCTTATTTGATCAATTCATTCGAGCAGTTTATAATGACATTTTTTCTATTAATCACTTCATGCGAGCAGTTTAAACGACATGTACTACCACTCGAATTTCGAAATAAAACAATATTTTGAGATTTTTTCTTCTACAGCCACGAGAAAAGTTGCCAAGATTTGAGCGTTCCATTAAAAAATAGTAATTTGTTGGCCCAGTTTTGAGAAATCGCTAGGAGAAAGTTACGCCAAAACTGCTTGACAAAGTGGTCCATTGATTGAACGTCGACTTATTTGTGTCTTCATTTTCGGAAATTTCAGTCTGAGGCATATCACGACATATCTATAAATAGTTAGGTCTCTCTTACTCGACATGAAAGAGACCATCGACAAAGGGAGGTATTTACGTTGGCTTACACAGTTAAATATATATTTGAAAATTTAATCCACCACCTGGAGCTGTATATATAAAACTACACCTTTAACTATCTGAAATTCAATAAATTAAAGCAGAAATTTACACGTTCATGTGAATTCATATCGTTGATCGTTGAAGAAAATGAGCCAAATTTGCGTTTCATAATTAATGGACCTTCCCTTATGCTATACCATTCATACCATTCAAATAACCTTAGGAGATCGAAAATTGAACAAAATATATTTGCATGATTTTTTTTTGGGTGTCCTTAAACATATCATCGGTAGTATATAATAGAGCTAGAGGTTGCAGATGCTTATTTCGCATAACAACATATTTTTCAAAATTTCGTGATATACCTATAAATTACATTCTCATTCAATGAGAGAGGGACGAAAACTGAAACCAGTCGGGACAATTTCTGTCAATTTTAGGATCAGTACGAGGCATTTCGAATACAGTGCCTTCCCGTTTTTGGCAACACAGCCTAATCAACTAATTCTATCTTCACATTTGCGCTAGCGCTTTCTGGAGAGTTTTCTATGGAATTCCAAGTAGATATGACCCTTAAAGAGGAGTCTTGTGCTATCAGAAACATCTCTGAGCTTATTTTGAACTTTTCCAGAATTTTTTGAACTTTCACGCAGAATCCTAAATTTAAAAATCCTGAGGATTCCTGAACTTCTTTTATAATTTAAAAGCATATTTGAGGTTTCTTGAATTTTATTTGGATCCAAGATGAGCCAACCAAGGCTGAAAGTCACGCGAAATAATAATAATTATTTTCTTTAAGTTCTCTGGATAATGATGTTCTCTTAATTTTCTGAAATTTTCTCAGATTGCAAAACATTAGAGGTTTCCATAACATTTTCAAAATTTTCTAAACATTTTTGAAGTTATGAAGTCGTGAAATTTATGGTGTTTTTAGAGAGTTGGAGTCACTCATATTTTTGACCAGTTTTTTTAAGAAAATGAGGCAATAATTTCCATATTTTTTTTAGGTTAGCATAAATAAAATCCTATTTTCTTGATGTTCTAGAAGAAAACATTTCACAATATTGTTCCACAACAACGTTCCAGTGGTAGGAAACGTCATTTTAAACTGCTCCAATGATGTGATCTTTTTTCAAGAGGTGTTCAGGTTTAGTGCAGAATTTCTACAGCTCCTGAAATACCTTTTGACTTTACTTGCGCTTTGGTAAAAAATTTCTTGATAATTGACAGTTGCTGGAAGTTTTGAAAGATCTCAGGGTACACATAATTTCATTTTCTAAGTATTTGAGGCCTCCCTTAGCTCAGTCGGTAAAGGCGCAGCTACAAAGCAAGACCATGCTGGAGGTGGCTGGGTTCAATTCCCGGTCCGGTCTAGGAATTTTTCGGGTTGGAAAATTTCTCGACTTCCCTGGGCATAGAAGTATGATTGGAAAGCTCTCAATTAATAACTGTGGAAGTGCATCTAGAACACTAAGTTGAGAGCACGCAATAAGCTAATATGCGATATGCAATAAGCTTGAAATGCGAAGAAGAAGAAGAAGTATTTCTAAGGATTGCGTGAGTTCTAATAGTTCTTGCAGTTTGTAATTTTGGTTAAGTTGGGGGATTTTTCAAAACTTTAAAATCATTAGTAAGTTTCAGAAGTCACTGATGCTCTAAGAATGTTAGTGTTCTTAATTTTTCAGGAATTATATAGTTCTTTTGCTCGAGTTTCGATTGGAGTATCTGAAATTGTTGAACGTTTACTAGAGATGCAAAAGTTCCAGTAGTTCTTACAGTTTATAATATTCCAGGAGTTCGGCAGTTTCTATAGTAGAGCTGAGTAACTGACTAACCATTTGTCAAAGTCCGCATCGTGCTGTCTTGCCGTGTGGATCTATTTTGTTTTTTTGCTGAAGGAAGTGTTACTACTACCTAAAGCTATAATAAATTTAACCAGCACTTTTCAGTGCTCAACCTGTAAAATTTCTACCTTGTTCAACTCTAATTCCTCTTCGATCCTTGTTTGGACCCTACCCGAGGAAATCCTTCTTGGATATCGATTTGTAAAAATTCCTCTTCGATCCTTCAGATTCTTATAGCAATCTGCTTGGAAGTCGATTTAGATAAAAATTTACTACCGCCATGGCGCCTAAGCGCAAAAGAGAGGGACAAACTCTTGATCCCCCTTCTGATGAAATTAATTTGAGCAACCAATTTGATTTCCTCACGGATGATGAGAATGATTCATCATCCAGGAATAATTCTAGTAAACTTTCTCGGCTTAATGCCAAGAAGGAAAAGATTCCCCTTATTGTGATAACGACTTCCGATTTCCATGCTCTTCGCATGGAACTTTTGAGCTTCGTGAAAGTTAAGTTTTCAATACAAATTGGACGTCGGGTGAATGCAGTGCATTGGCTGAAACCTTGGACGGATTTAAATGTCTTCTCAAGTATCTTACTGAGAAGCAGCACAATTTTTTTACTTACGACACCAAAACTGAACGTGTGTTCAAGGTTGTCATAAAAGGACTACCCAGGGGTGAATCCCTGGATCAGATCAAAGATGAACTGGCAACATTACTTGGCGTTGTGCCACTCCAAGTAATCAAAATGAAAATGAAATACCGTCCTGGCGATTCGCGCAACGGGATTTCTAATGATTATTATTTAGTTCACTTCAAGTCTAGTGAACTAAACAACCTTAAGGCATTAGAAAAAGCTAGCCTTATGCTCCATGTCCGAGTGAAGTGGGAACACTTCAGGAAGACTGGAGGAAATTTCCAAAACCTCACCCAGTGCCGTAAGTGCCAGGGATGGGGTCACGGAGCTAAAAATTGCTACATGCCAGCTAAATACATGAATTGTGGTGATTCCACTCACGCAAAGGACGACTGTCCTGTGAATGAAGATCCTAAGAAATTTAAATGTTCAAATTGTGGTGAAAACCACAAATCCAATTTTTGGGAATGTAAGACTCGCAAAGCGATCCTAGAATGTCGTTCTAAGCGACAGGTAGGAAACGCTCCACGTTTCCGACCAGGTAAAAATTACTCTGCTGTTAACAACAATCAGCGAGGAACAAATTCTACATTCGTACCCGTAGGTACAAATATCACCCTTGCTTCAAATTTTTTATCTGTTCCTACTCCCCTCGCTGCTAACAATGTTCAGCAAGTTAATGGAGCTACCTATGCTGCTATTGCAGCGTGTAGAAATCAAAATACTTCTTCTTCTTCTTGTTCGCATTTCAAGCTTATTGCTTAGAGCATATTAGCTTATTGCGTGCTCTCAACTTAGTGTTCTAAATGCACTTCCTCAGTTATTAATTGAGAGCTTTCGATGCTAATTACCAATGCATGAATTTGTATATTGTGTGGCAAGCACAATGATACTCTATGCCCAGGGAAGTCGAGAAAATTTCCAACCCGAAATATTCCCTCGACCGGACCGGGAATCGAACCCGCCACCTGCGGCTTGGTAATACCGTGCCTTTACTGACTAGACTGTGAAGCCCCCAATCAAAATACTAACCAACGTAATTCTAACGGAAATTTTAACAATTTTGACTTAGGAAGCATTACTGCCCCTAATATAGAATTTTTACAGAAATCATGAATTGACATGATTTCTGATATGCTAAAATCTAACTCCATGTTTGATGCTATTCAAATTGGAGTAAAATTTG